AACATTTTTTTCTTTATTTGTTTATCAACAATCCATAATGTGTATAAAAAATTAATAAAACGCTACAGCAGATTTCTCTTCTAGTAAGTATGAAAATGTGGTAAATTTTCAGTAAATATATTATACCTGTAAGTTTGTCACGGATATAACAGTTTATTCTATATGTATAATCTAACAATTACTCAACAACTATTGTTGGTTATAACATGGTTATACCACTTTCAAAGTAGGTACTTTGAATTAGTACCTATTTGAATATACTTAAGATATACAATTTTAATTTTTCTTGAATGTTCATAAAAATTGCCTATATAAAACGCCTTAAAATTGAGTGTGGCTGTATCATGTTAAATCACAACTAAAATTGATTTTTAGTTTTATTCAAAAGATCATTCTAATTAGAATTTTTATTAGAAAGACCATTAATATTTGTAGAACATTCTGAACATATGTATATTGTACCTATATTGACAGAGAACCTATTTTCTACAGAACTCAATGTTGAGAACTTTCAAAAATGTATTTAATAATATATAATCTGTGTTCAGTCTCAGAGCTTGTCACCTCCTTGCAGTGTATAAATTATTGTTTTGATTGAATAGCAACCATACAAATTACATACTTACTTTCAGCATGCATTTGATCACACGCCTACTATTATATTTATTGTACAGAATATGACTTACTGTTACATTAAGCCCATTAAGGTACATAATATATTATAGTGTTCTATTAGTAACTTAATGTAATAACATTACACAAGGTATTTTGATCTTTTATTTTTTAATCCTTGTAATTGCAAGTGATAAAAATAATCATCTGACGATTGACATACTTATACTTACACATTATTAAATGTGTAATATAGTTTAAAGATAAATTGATTTCTATAATATTCAATGATAAACCAACCTCAACTAAACTCATAATTTTACGAATATCTAATAATAATCTAAAAACGGAGAGCAAATTGACAATATGATATTTAATATGGTATAATATACTCTTGTCGCCAATCCAAAAGCAGACATTACATGTGAAAAGTATTTTCTTTTTTTATTGTATGTAACTAATATACATTTTTTTAACTTATAGTTTAACTCTTTATTTTCAAAATGTAACAATTTATATGAATAAAATGTCAGTAACTTGAGATAAAATTAAAAATACTTACATTAAAAAAATATATTCTTAAAAAAAATATCCTTAAAATAAAATAAATAATAAGAAGACAATTCACATAAAAAATACTAGGAACCTAAAACTCTATTATCTAACATAATTTTCATACATATTTTAATACCGTAACCATCTTAATAATTAATAACTTACAGTGCCGTATTATAATGATTAGTTATTTATTAAAAATAATAGTAAATATAATAAGTTAAAAAAAAATTGTTTACATTGAAGAATAATAATAATAATAAAAAAAAAAAAACCACAATTCATTTTTCATCAAATTTTAAATTAAATTCCTAAACATAATGAGGTATAAAATTAAGATAGGTAGTATAATTTTGAAAATAATCACATGGAACAATCACTCAAAATGTTTTTTTTTTTTTTTTTTTATAACTAATAGGTCTTTTGGGTTAATAATGTAACAAAACTTATTATTGGCTTTTAATATAAATAGTAATTGGTACATAAAAACCAACACAGTGTATGCAATTTTTAAATTTAGAAGTGCCATTATTGAATTTATAAAAACTAAATTAGATATGCATTAGGTTTAAACGGGAAAAATTTTTCGTCACATATATTTTTTGCTTTCAAATCAGTGATAATTTGTAACATGTTTAGGTTGTCAGCAGTTTAAAAATTAATTTTTCCATTCTTTAATATTATTAACAAAATAAATAATAATAATTGAGTTTAAAAATGAATCATTTGTCGGTAAGTAGTTGGTTAAAACATTAATAATTTATACATTTATATTTCATTAGGATTGAAGTTTATTTAAGTAGTAAAATGGTTTTTTTTTTAGCTAAGACAATATAAATTTAAATTTTTTATATATCATTTAAGCAGAACTATTTAAAATAATTATCATAGTATATTTATAATAGTTTGATTAAAAAATGTTTGTAGTTGGTACTTGGTATGTATATAATAACAAAGTACACAAATCAATGAAATTAATACAATACATATTAAAACTATGTACTTCAATCTCAAGTAAAACAATAAACTAATTAAGTTTAAATTCTAATAGTACTTTGAAGTTAAACCTGATTACACTCAAATAATACTGAAAATTGAGTTAGAAAACATACGACAGCTTTAAAAACCATTTTTATGTTTTCCTACAAACCTAATTGAATATGTTATTATTTATAATAAATGTTATTATTCAAAACAATGTATCTTAAAAATAATCAAAACATCAAAAATAAATACATTTATGAATATATAACATAATTGTAACAAAGCTACGTGTTTGGATAATTTTTTTTAAAGACAATCATGATATTAATATTAGAAATTAATTAATGTTATAGTTAAGAAATTGTATTATAAAACAAATTATTAAGTTTTTGACCAGATATAAGTAATAAATGTTACAACTCTATATTATTTTTAATGAATAGTGCATAGGTAGTACATATACTACAGGTAATAATAGGTTTAATTTTAAGAAGTTATAAATGATAATGAAATTATATGGCCTTGTGAAAATGAAGAGTAAATGAAAAAACAAATTTTGATCGTTTTTGGAAACAATAGCTTTATATGAATTTTATCAATTGCGAAGTTACCAAAATCAGACATCTAATTATAATTTTTAACAAATTACAAGAAAAATGTAAATCTATAGAACAACAAATGTTTTTTATTAAGCTATTTAAAATCGATTAAGAAATTACAGTATTTTAAGATAAAAATAAACTTGTTTAAAATAAAATAATTAATCAATAATCAAAATAAAATGTTTATAATAATATAATTATTATCTTTTAAATCATTGTTTTCCAAACACGCGTTTAAACCATTAATTTATAACATTAATAGTTATAAACTTCTAAATTGGTTAAGTGATCAATCTATAACCATGTAAAATATAAATTCATAAATCTGAAGAAAAATATCTACAAACAGTTTTGTATAATATGTTGAATAATATGTTTTTAATCTAATCATTAATATATAAATGTATAACCATTAGATTTAAGTGATGGTATTATTAACTAGCAAGATTTCTAGAAATCATGTAGCTACTTGAACGTCATGTGATGATGATTCAAGAACTTCCATTAAAAATGTATCAATTGGTGAATCTCCAATAAGTTTATAAAAGAATAAATGTTCCAGACATTTTAAACCAATTGAACGTAATGAAGGAAGCCGAAGAAGTAGTTTAGCAAATCGTCCAGGTTCTTCTGGATGTGTTGTACGACAATATTCTTCTAACGCAACATAAACTTTATCACGTAGTACTTCCACTTCATTCACTGACTGCAAACCTTTTGAACCTAATACAAAAATAAGAAGTATTAGTGGTATGAATGAAGAACCATATTAATATATTCTTTATATCAAGTAATTGACATTTATAATTAACTATAAGAACATTACCTGGATTAAATAGAATAATAGTACGTAAACAGCCAAGCTCTGTTCTATCCATACCCATATCTCTCATTTTAGCAACGAGTTCAGTGAGTACACGATCAAATATAGCTTCAACACCAGCTTGATGAGCTGAATCTCTGTCAACAGTAAGTCCAGTAGCTAAGACTATACCATCTTTTACACTGATTGATCTATGGGAAAATGCTGCAATCATCAACTCATTCCAACCTACAAATGAAAAATAAATTAAATAAAAATGTTGTATGCTATAAACAATTTGGGATTTATATATTCACTTACCAGCTCTCAATAACAAAACTTGATCGCCTAGAGGTAAATTTTTAAAATGCGGTATATGCTTGGCCCACTCAACAAGTTGAATTAACTGCTTGTCAGTTGCTTGACAAATAGCACCAACAGTATGTTGAGGATGCTGAAAAAAATTAATTTTTTTAGTTAGGTACACTTTGTTGTTTACAGTATCAAATATAATTAATTCAGTTATTTTTGTCCAAAAAAAAACCTCACTTGTTGCTCTATATACTGTTGTTCAGTCTTTATAGCATCAGCTTTATTCTCAGCTCTTAATATAAGTTCCACTGGCATATCAGTATTAGAACTGCTCGTAGGTTCAACTTCTATGCTATTATGATCTCGTTCTTTTGTACGTTGCCTTTCCTCCTATAATTTATTGAAACTCATATTATTATCTATAATATTATTCAAAATATGCTTTTTTTTTGAGCTTTATATTATTAATGGTACTTCAACCAATATTCTTAAATATTATGAGTAGAACAAATAATATTTAAATCAAATTAGTATTCAACAAACAATAAAGTTTTACCTACACTTGTCTTGTACCTTAATAATATAGCTACACATATTTCAAAGGGAAATTTATTTTATATAATTAAAAAGTTAAACAATTGTAAATTAATTTTATATGTTCAATCTTTTTGTATTATTAATATTATTTTTTGAATATCAAATAGTCCATTTTGTATGATGCCATTAAAAAAGTTAATTCACGAACAAGAGTATGGGTAATAATTTAAAATATGCAGCGCAATCACTAAACATTTCGTAAAATTGCATAACCGATTGTAAATTATATTGATGTATTTACGTCCAAATTTGTGTCGAATCAGATTCTGAATACACAGTTTTTTTGTACCAAATATAAAAATATATAAAGTCCCGATCTTACAATGAATTTAGTAAATATACATTTTGTTGGTAATTAAAAATCTGTCGTCACCTTAATAAAACAGATAATGACCTCCAGGAAGTCGGGTTTAAAAAATATCATACAATATAATATTATAACATGAAAAAACCAATCTTTAAAAATTAATTGATATTTATAATTATTATTTCTTTACTAGGTCATAATATGGTGGCGCACAAATCCTCTCGAATGTCAAATTATTTTACGAACCAAACCATTTCCAACAGATATTTTTAAGCCCAAGAATTTCTTATATATTTGTATTACATTGTTATTATGTATTTAAATTTTTATAAAAATATCACGAACATCTCGAACACCCTTCCGGGGCCACCCGTGTTTTAAATAGGCGTCATAATCGCGACCGGAAGCGCCAATGTCATTTGAAGCGCCCGTGATATAATGATTTTTAAAGCTTAGGTAAGCACCCGCCCACCCATAAGATAAACCGGATTAAGGGGGGAGGGACATGGCTCCGGGTCCACAGCGGATATCGAAAAATAGTGGGCCCTTGGCGGATACTACGTTTCCTATACCTAATATATGAATAATGGATATAATATTATTACTATTTGGCCTCGGGCCCAAAATTATCTTAATCCGGGCTTGGCCGTAAGAACTGAACAAATTTCTTAAACTATTAATCGTATTTGTCATACGCAAGACCAACCTACTTTTGACACATCTGATCGCGACATATATTATAGAGGCTAGAAATATGGAATGTACCTATATATGGCTACATATTATCTACCCCACTGAAGTTATTATTATTAGGTAGTTTCATATTATGCCATATACGGTAGTACGGTAAAAGTACAAAAACGTCTAAAGCTGCCTGTAAATAAAGGCAAACGACGACGACAATATAACGCACCTGCACGGCTTCTCTTTTCATGCCCATGGTCAAACATTTTTGATACCTGCAGTACTGGCACCGATTTCGTTGGCGCTTGTCGATGATGCATTTGTTTTCTTCGCGACACGCATACGACAAATTCTTCCTCACGGTGCGTTTGAAGAATCCTTTGCACCCCTCGCAACTATATGGATGTGCACATTACGTATGTAATTACAATTGATTGACCATTTACGAATGGAAAATAAGAAAAACGCGGACATTACCTGTACACTCCGTAATGTTTTCCACTGGCGCGATCGCCGCATATGGAGCACAGATGCTTCGAACCGCTGAGAGGATGGTTGGGCGGGTAATTCGGAGAGTCTTGTACGTTGCAAGAATTATTCATCATATTGTTCCGGTCGACGCTGTACAATCTATAAAAAACCAGAAAAACGTAATTTAAATTAACTACGAATTTAGTCATCAACATTTTTGTGTTTAATATATATATTTTTTGAATTATTGATTAGGAAGCACTTGAGTTTACAAAACAACGTGATATTGTTTTTATAACATCTAATAATATATTATACAAATTATTACTTTCTGGTACTTTCTGAAATAGTAGTTACAGGTGCATTAAATAATTATATTTTATACAATGTAAATTGACGCTTTGATACTTATGTGTTCAATAGGTCAACAATTTATACAAATCAATGATTGAATAATAATAAATAAATGTATGCACATAAAATATATAGAATTCATTATGAATTCATTGTTCAACGAGACATGTTTCATACAGCATAATATGTCCTACTAAAATTAATTTGCACATTTTGTAAAAATGTTCATCTATTCTGGAAAATTGATCAGAACATATTA